TAGCATTCGGATTCCCATTTTACTTAAGTACTCACCTTATATTTTGTAACTCCTTATGTATAAGCTCATAAGCTGAGTATAACCGCCACGTCCTAGTAGTTAGAGTGTGTATAAGCCCCAGCTTCTACTGCTTTAATGTGATACTGTTCTATCACTGGGCTGTTTACATAGGTCTACGGTAAACCTGTGTGAAAAACTTCTCTCCTGTTCTTTTAATTAATATACCGATAAATGGTATAGAAGTCTTTTTCTGACTTCGCTATGAATTTAATGGCTGGATGCAAAACATCCAAAAAATTTAATATTTGTCGTACACGGTTTCGTTCTTGAATTTGGACCAAAGTTTTTTGATAGTTTGTAAAAAACTTTTGATTTATATATATACAGTCGTATACACAAATTATTCTATGTCAGCTCTGATGATGCTTTTTTGTAAATCGCATCTAAAAGTTCCAAGTGAGTTTCTTACACGTCACTTGCAAGTTTGAATAAGGTCTGTTAATAGATTTTTATTTATTGTCAAATAACGAATTATTCTATGTCAGTCCCATGTTGTTCCTTTATCTATATTTATTAGTACTGCGTAGTTCCTTAATAAAAAAAAATATATATCGATAAATTTTTTGAGCGAGCGTGGTACTAGTATAGTGTCCAAGGTACAATAGACGTGCAAGTTAAATGTAAGTAACTACTGAATTCAGTAATGCAATTTTTCGTTGATTATTTTTTGTTGAGTCAGACTTTTTTCTACTAATACGACTGTCAGTAGTTTTCACGCTAAAGTAACGTATACACATACACTTATGGTTGTTTCCTGCTAGCCGTCAATTTTTCCCGTCAAAAATAGCCGCCGTTACAAAGGTTGTTTCCTGCTAGCCGTCAAAAATAGCCGTCAATTGACGGCTAGCAGGAATTTTGAAAAAGACTAGCCGTCAGATCCAAAGCTATGTAAAAACGACAAAATGGCTGCCGAAATAAAGAGATTTTCGAAATAAAAGAGCAATCAGGTTGTTTTAACTCTGGGAATTAAAAGGATTAGATTGATTTTGACCTAAAAACGGTACTATAACAGATATACTTATCAACCTTGTCATTGGTTCTTTCATATTATATATAATTCCCTTACAGGAAGGAAGGGTTCATAGCAAAAAATAATGTCTGATTGGGTGGTCCCGAAAAAAAGTGGTCAAGGTAAGCCTTCATTAATTTGCTCTTTCATGAAAATTTCGCCGTTGCAGAAAAATTGTATACAAAATATGACCTCTATTTTTTTGTGATTTTCATTGGTTGCTGTATCGTTCCTGTTTCATTTCATGTATTCTACCTGATCGTCAGACCTGATTCTTTGGACGAAAGAAAAAAAGAACGAAAGAGAAAAAATAAATCTCAGTGTATTTTTTTGTAAGTTAATCGTTCGAAAAATTTTGCTGAAACAAATTATCGAAAGATTATCTTGACCAAAAAAAGTAAAGTAAAGAGTAAAGTAAACTTTTCATTCGGCCAACTAGACCAATAATATCTATTTTTCAACCTGGTTGGTGTAATTGACCAAATCAAAAGTTTACTTTACTTTTTTTGGTTGTCCTCTTTTAGTCGAAAATAACTGCCGATAATAGCGGCTAAAAGAAGGGCTGGTAAAAATTTTGCCGAAAATAAGAAAAATGTGTAGAGGTCTAGTATGGCGGGTAAAACTAGAGAAGTGTATGGCTCAGTATCTGTAAGGTATTTTCTGGACTTTAAGGGTGATAGTGTAGAACTATTTAGTTTTATCATCAACAAATTTTAGCTATTTGTTAAATGTTACTTTTGATGGCATTGCTGATGAAAATAAGGGTTTCCCACTTTAGACAAGTCACTTCCTTCACAGGGTCTGTAGAAAATATATAGATTTCTCTACATTTGTAAGTTGATTTCGACCTAAAGTGTTGGGGATGCATTGTATTCAATATCCAGGCGTTTCGATGCCCCATAATATATTTAGAGAATTTTATCATTCATACTAGACACGTGAGTATTGCGACGTACTACGACAAATGCATCATGTTCTCGAAGAAAAGTCCGAGTAAAACATGATGCATGGGCAGGGTGCCCAAATCCAGTTTTTCGAAACAGGGAGAAAAACAGGAGAGAGTATCAGCCAGTTTTTTCTTGGACAAGCAAAACAAAACAGTCCAATAACTTTTTCAATAACATTGTTTTTAAAAAAAAATGTTTTTTTAAATAGTGTCTGATGAAACAGTATTATCATTTATTACAGACTGCAGTACGAATTCAGAAAGAAGATTTTGATCCGATGCGTTTAGAAGAGAACATTCGATAAGCGCACCTCTTTTAACATACAATTATTTAGACTCTTGATCCAGAAATTCTGTTTCTGAAACTGATAATCTCAGTTTTCGAAAAAACAAAGTCGATGCAGGAAAACAATTTAAATCAGGAGAAAATCTTAAAAATCAGTTCCTGAAATCAGGAGATTTGGACACTCTGTGCATCTGCCCAATGCATCTAAAGACTAAGAAATTTTCTAAAAAACAATATAAACAGTTAAACTCGACCAGATCTTCTTCAGAGAATAATATGCAGCCAAATCTTGATAAAATAGCAGATTTTCATAGTTTTTCTATTAAGTAGCATATTTAAAAAATAAATCCGGTCGCTTTAGTTTTCAATGAATATTTGCACAAAATGTAAAGATGTGCACAAACAAACCATTTCTAGAGTACAACATTGTATTTTCAATTCTTGATAAACAAAATTACTCGAGACTAAAACGAGGCAAAAAACTGAAATCACTGAAAAACTTGTTTTTATTGAAAAATAAAAGTTAAGCTCTTCATATTTTCCCTTACCTTAAGTGAGAGCTTCAACTTGTGGCGCGTTGTTCTTTTTCCAATGTTAGATCTGTATGTTTCAGAGATATTTATTACCAGCACAAAAATTTTATAAGAAAGTATATATATTAATATCGGATCCAACCACAGTAGTTGTTCAATACTTTGATATGTGAAACGAGCAATGTATTTTATTATTTAGTCTTCCCATTTTTCATTTCCAGGAGATGCACAAATGGCATTATCATTGACAAAAACACCAGCAGTTATCCTCCAGACAAAAACAATTAAACGAACTGAGATCATCTCAAGATGACGTGTGAGCTAATTCTTTTTACCAGGAAACCACCTTAAGAAGCGCTCTGAATGTGCATTATAATTTGAATATTTCTTAGGTTTTCGTTATACATACTACTCCAGTCTGTGAAAAGGTTGTTTCGGTATTAATGAAGTAGAAAAGAAGACAGGCTGATTGATTCGGTATTGTAAAAACTGAGCTTGCAGAAATGCAATATCTCAGGAAGGAACCTCTCGAGGTGATGAAACCCTTTTTGATTGAAATCTAGTGGGTTATAGGTTATCGACCATGCTGATTCCGAATATGATTATAGAAGCTGCCCTTAACCGTACGAAGATCCGGTTTTCTGGAAAACCAGGTTTTCAGAAACTCTAAAAGATAACCAAAACCCCTCGTAGTGAAGCATGACCGTAGTCCACAAATTTCTCATTAAAATTTATCTTTTAGAGTTTCTGAAAACCTGGTTTTCGAGAAAACGGGATCTTCGTACGGTTAGGGGCAGCTCCCATAATCATATTCGGAATCAGCATGGTGGATAACCTATAACCCACTAGATTAAGATCAAAAAGTGTTTTATCACCTCGAGAGGTTCGCTCGTCAGTCGTAATTAGAGTTTGTTTTTCATACATTATGAGAGAGATTGAAAAATCGACTTTTTTTGCGCCAGACGGATCGAGCTGAAATTTTGGGAAATGGATTATGATTATTATTTACACATTTTGTGAAAGTTTCATCTTTACACATATGATGGTTCCATAAATATTCATTTTTATAGCTGATTAACATCTATTATAAAACTGTGTCTCAAAGTCTCTTCTTCTGAATGGTGAAAATCCGAACCTCTATCACGTTCCCTTCTCGGGATATTCAAAAAATAGTTAGAGCACTGTATTTTAAAACGCATAGTAGCTGTTATTTTACCTGTTTTAAAGTCTCGAAGAATCATACTAATAAAAAATATACTTCGAAGTTGACTTCAGTTTATCTGTCGTATACTTTTGCTTCTTTTTGAATGCTAGATATTTTCCTTTTGTATTGTGTTGATATGGAGTTAGGTGGGGTTTGATGCCTTAGCGAAGTAGTAAGAATTCATGCTTTTAAAGTTCATTAGTAAATACTTTGACTTTGTTGTCTTCGAATGTTAAAACTACTATTGATGCCATTTAATGTTTGATTTAAAAGAGTAGTGAGGTCAGCGGTTACATTAATTTTAGGAGTTCATTTTTGTTATAAATTGTATTATCTGTATTTCTAATACTTTTATTTATTTTAAGGATGATGAAAAGTTATAATATAAGAGAAGCTTCTGTACTGGAATGTAGATTTGATTCTTATAACATAAGAATAATACCTATTTTTTTATACTTTTATGTTTATTGTATTCTATTTTTAATATTGGATTTAGAATTCCTTTTAATAGCTGTTGCTCTATTACTTTTATTCATAAATAAGTAATTTGGACTACAGCAGCATTTTTTGGATTGTTGACTCTATCGATAGAATAAATTCATATAAACAATTATAAAGATCTAATGAAGGCGAGTTGGTCGAAGGGAGAGCTAAAATGGCAAATAAGAGGAGCCGACTCGAATCTTGGACTGTATTTTTTTCCGCCTCCTGTTAACTTAAAAAAATTGATATTTATTAACCCTTTCACTGGCACGGACGCCTTTTGACGTCAAGCACTTTACAACCCTTGACTAGCATTGACGCTTTGCGTAACTGTTAGAGAGCGGTATTTCACTATATTTTAGAGAATATACACCCGTTCGGAAGTGAAATACCGCTCTCTAACAGTTACGCAAAGCGTCAAAAGGTGTAAAAGATTGTAAACTGCTTGATATCAAAAGACGTCCACGCTAGTGAAAGAGTTAATCTAGAATTGTAAGTTTTATACCTATAATAGTAAAATATTCCACAAAATCTGATGACCAATTTTGCTGAATAATCTTAAGTTCAGATTTAAACGCTGCGATAGATAATAAAGATAATAAATATTTAATATCATTTATATAGGGACGGGCCATTGCTTTTCGTGTTTCACAGACATAAAGCACGACTTGATCTGCTGACGATGATGATGTTGTTGTTATTGATTTTGATGGTTGTTTTGTACAACAATAATCATGTTCCCGAAAAATATAATCATAACCATAAATCATTATATCAATTTGTTCATCCGATAAAGAATCTATTTGTTCATCGGATAATTCATTCGATTGTTCATCAAGTTCTATAAAAGAGAAAAGTTAATACAAAATAAATTATCAAAGAATAACTAAGTCTAGTATTTCACTTTTTTTAGTTGTTTTTTCTTTCGTTAAACGATATTTTAATGCCCGCCGGAATACATTTCGATACAGATGCACATGACATCGAAGTTGAATCATCGACGGACTTAAAAGCAAAAAACCAATGTTACCGACAGTAAAATCACTCATGAATTAAACAGTAACTTACAACTGTTTTCGAAAAGCATTTTTAAAAGAAGCTTCGTTGTCGCTTATCAAGACGCATTTCTGCCCGGTTAATGGACATAAATCACTCATTGTACGAACTACGATATAGAAAAACACACGGTATAACAGATTGTAAAGGATAGGAACGGATAAGATCATTTTCGGGCTCTCAATATTTTTTGATGAAAATCATGGGATTCTGGGTTATTCGACATGCTTAACGAGACAGCTTACTCAGTTTTTCAAAATTCGACTTTTACGACCTGTAGTAATCCTCAAGGAAAGTGAAAGAGCTTTTCTCTGATTATTTTAAAACGACATGTAGTCGATGCATAATTTTCCACTGATTCCAAATACCACTTTGGTGTTGAGAAAGAACGGAATTATCACCGTGAAAAACACATTACTGGGGATCATCGACTACATGTCGTCTTAAAATAATCAGAGAAAAACTCTTTCACTTTTACTACAGGTCGTCTCCCATGAAGTCGGAACGTACAACCTCTGCATGGTATGAGAGAGAAACTTAGGGGCATCCCTATGGCTAATGTACGTACGCAGAAGCTACCGGGCAGCAGCAGTAGTGGATCTTACCAACTACGTTTGGACTGCGCTAGGGAAGGCAATGGTAAACCATGCTGGCCTGCCGTATTTTATTTGAAGAATCGAAATTACAAAAAAGCGCTCTCAAGCTCTTGAAGCTAAATTAATTTATAGTTGATGAGAGATCGTGACTCAGTAAGAAGAACAATGAGATAAGAAGGAATGCTGAATCATATAAGAATAAACAATAATGAGAACGGAATGTCTAAGCATAGAACTACGTCCTACGTGTCCTTATGACAGTATGACTACTGTCATAACACTCCCCCCGTGGCCTTAGATGAGCCAGGAGCTCATTGAAC